GACGGCATAATGTATAGTGTATGGGGCCCTTTATATATCTACCTTGCTTCAAACGATAAAGTTGACAGTCAATGAAAGACTTCGAATTCGCCTCCTTGTTAACCTTATGCATAAACCTTGTATGTTTGTTTACATTTAGTCAAATGGCGTTGACACTAGCATTACTTACAAAAATAAATTTCCATGTGGTTGTTGTAACGTTTGTTGTACAACAAACTCTTGCTGTTACCTAAGGTAGACAAATAAGGTAGCCGCATCGGCGAATTGGGAACATGATATCTCAATATTTTTATCGAGGCGAATAATAATAATTTCGCCATGATATACAAAACTCAAAGTAAGGTTTATTAATAAGGTTAACCGGCAGGTGAATTCATACCTTAGTCTTTTCTTGCTGTCAACTTTTTAATCGCGAAATACTCACCATAACAGGATAAAAACTCAAAATATCTTTCAATAAAACGTAATGATAGTAATGTGCACATATATTTTGGTTCGAATAAACATATTTTTTGCTTATTTATTCTTCAAATAACAAATTTGACAGTCAACGAAGACTACGAATTCGCCTCCCTGTTAACCTTTTGAATAAACATTGACTCAAAGCAAGGTTTATTCGTAAGGTTACCAAGGAGGCGAATTCGAAGTCTTCATTGACTGTCAAATTTATTGTTTGAAGAATAAATCAAGGCCTATATAAGGTCGGCCAGTAAGCAGAGGTGAGTATAAAGTTTGTTGTCAAATCATATTTTGAAACCTATACATACATACAAAATTATGTTAGACGTCAAAACGAAAATATTAATATTTTGTCAACATTAAATTAAGACTATTTAAAGACTTAGACTATTTCAAGAGTTTAAAGAAGATTTTCAAGTAAATTATCGTACAAATTAAAAATTGGGTTGCGTTTGGGCTGTGTTTTTTATTTAAGGGGACACCCCCCCCCCCCCCATTCTCGGGGTCAACATTTTTTTTATTTAATTCGATTCTACATTAACTCAAGAATGTCTCTACAAAATTTCAAGTGAAAATCTCAAGAACTCTTAAAGATATAGCCGATTTATTGTGTCAGCATCAAGTGACGGCTAAAGGGCTTCTCAAACTTTAAACGCGTTTTTCTCTTTTGCGAATGGCGGGCACGATAACTCAAAAACTAATAACCCAATCGATTTCAAATTTTCACACGTTTCTCTGTGAGTGTATAGCTATCGTATGAACTAGGATAAAGCCAATCGGTGAAGATCTTCCTTATTTTTTAACTTAGTGTTTGGTCAAAATTCGGCGTTTTTTTCAAAAATATTTTTTCAAAGCTCCGCCATTTCGTTAATTTTAGAGCGAAGTCAATAATCCTAGTTCATACGAGAGCCAGATATGTACTTTTTCTAACACCGTTGGAATTTTCGGATTCCGATGATCCAGTGAGGAGTTATCATGCCCGCCATAAAAAATAAGGACTATTCTTTAATTACAAAAAACAACAACAAAGCAATAACAAAAATTTTTTGTAAATTATTTTTCTTCTTTTTTAAATCTTCAAATATATATATATGCAAAGTTAATTGACGTTAAACTAAAGTTTTTTTTTTTTTGAATTCGCTTACTGGTTGACCTTATATAGGCCTTGGAATAAATAAACAAAAAATATATTTATTCGAACCAAAATATATGTGCACATTACTATAATTACGTTTTCCTGGAAGATATTGTGAGTTTTTATCCTGTTCTGGTTGGTATTCCGCGATTAAAAAGTTGACAGCAAGGGAAGACTAAGGCATGAATTCGCCTGCCGGTTAACCTTGTTAATAAATATTGACTCAAAGCAAATTAAATTCAACCATTTTGAAATACGAAAAAAATATTTGTTTACTTTTTTAATATTTTGAAAATTTTAAATATATGTGAAAATATCTGATTTGTGAATAAAAATAACATCAAAGGAGCGAATTAAAATCAATAAAGTTGGCGTCATAGGATTTGTGGAAGGATAACAAGATTTAGACTATTTTTCCTTAGTGTTTTTATGTACTCATATGAAATGTGAAAAACAAATAACTAAAGCATAACTGAAGGCATAGGAACCTCAAGTGTCACAACACAGACAAACTATTCTGGTGGAACGGTCTATTTTATTTAATAGAAGACAAGAATATATTTTTATAAAAGACCGAAGTGACTTTTAGAAGATAAAAAGCAAATCAAGGAATCTTCTTTTGGAAGACAAAAAGGTCCAATCGAATCTAGATATCATCTCTATGGCCTACCGATATACCTTTTTAATCCCTTTCTGTTCGAATTTTCAAATGTATTTATTTAAAAATGATTTAGAAAATTATTGTGACATATAATGTTACCATCAGCTGGTTTGATACGGTTACCTTCTTAGTATACCTTGCTGTTACCTTACATTATTTGCCACAGCATGTGTTCAGTGACAAAAAATACTAATTTATTTATATTTATTAATATTTTGAAGTTCCGTGTCCGTAAAACCTATAAATATAAGTTGCAGCACCAATATTTACTTCTTGAGAACAATGAGCAGCTTTAGAAAATATAAATTTTTAATTTTTTGAAAATATGCCAATCGACATATCTACATACTATTTTATTGAATTTATTTTACATTTTATTTGAGGGTCGTACCTAAATGCATACGTATGCGTACGAATTTATTCACCTCAAAAGTTAAATACATGTATTTCAATGAATGTTACCCAAATACGCATTGCGTATAAAAATATAAAATTTAAAAATTTCAACATTGACAATGCGTATTTTGAATTTTTTTTTTTTTTTGAAAATAGAATTCCAGTCATTAAAAAATTAGTTTTTCTATAAATGTAAACATTTTCCGATCAAATAAATTTTTTTTCATCAATTTTTGCCGTTTTCAATTGGCACAGATGCAAATAAAGTCCTTGCGTATTTGGGTAATACGGACGTCTTACAAACCCTATAGAGGTGAGAAGGTGAGTATTTTTGTACGGAGCGCAATAAATTAGGTACGACACTGAAATTGATATATGTACATATGAGACTACCTTCCATAATTATGTACTATGAAATGCAAACAAACTTTTTTTTAAAATGTGATGTTTCCTCATATTTATGTATATGTCATGTATATTGTAAACAATATTATCACTACATAAGTATTTCCAGTGAACTGGAAGATAGCTAACGATGCCTCATTCTCAAGGAATAATTCATCTGGTGCCAATAGACTTATACAATTATAGCAATATTGCCAAAAATTACAGAACGTGTTATGAATAAGCAGATTATGGTTTACTAGGAAGAATCATCTCTTTTGCACAATAGTCAGTGTACGGCTTTCGATGTAACCGTAGTACCATATTCCCAATTCAATAAAATTCTATTTAGTACATTTTTGGTTCGCTAATGGTCTAAATGTCAACACTTAAACAATCAAAGTTATGATTGGTTGGTCGTATACAATTTTTAGCAATTTCTGTTACCGTCTGTGATACTGTTATAGATGTCATTTACAAGATAATATTTTTTCAAAGCTCCGCCATTTTGTTAATTTTAGAGCGAAGTCAATAATCCTAGTTCATACGAGAGCCAGATATGTACTCTTTCTAACACCGTTGGGATTTTCAGATTCCGATGTTCAAGTGAGGAGTTATCATGCCCGCCATAAAAAATAAGGACTATTCTTTAATTACAAAAAACAACAACAAAGCAATAACAAAAATTGTTTGTAAATTATATTTCTTCTTTTTTAAATCTTCAAATATATATATGCAAAGTTAATTGACGTTAAACTAAAGTACTGGTTGACCTTATATAGGCCTTGGAATAAATAAACAAAAAATATATTTATTCGAACCAAAATATATGTGCACATTACTATATTTACGTTTTCCTGAAAGATATTGTGAGTTTTTATCCTGTTCTGGTTGGTATTCCGCGATTAAAAAGTTGACAGCAAGGGAAGACTAAGGCATGAATTCGCCTGACTTATACAATTATAGCAATATTGCCAAAAATTACAGAACGTGTTATGAATAAGCAGATTATGGTTTACTAGGAAGAATCATCTCTTTTGCACAATAGTCAGTGTACGGCTTTCGATGTAACCGTAGTACCATATTCCCAATTCAATAAAATTCTATTTAGTACATTTTTGGTTCGCTAATGGTCTAAATGTCAACACTTAAACAATAAAGGTTATGATTGGTTGGTCGTATACAATTTTTAGCAATTTCTGTTACCGTCTTTAATAATGTTATAGATGTCATTTACAAGATAAATGGCTTAGGCGTTTTGATTGCAACAATATGTCATTTGAAGCTCGTGTCAAGTCTTTAGCTAAGAAAATTGTACTCGTTTGACCTTGTCTTGCCACATATTAAAAAATACGTTTGGCATATGCGTTGATAATCCCATTATTTATATATGGTCTTTATTGGTAGTTGTGGGTAGGTGTCGTGTAAATTACGTTTATTGTTCAAACTGGTATAGTAGCACTTAAAATCTTTAACAACTCTTTGCATAATTTTAAGAGCAAGCACGTATATTTGAAATTTGTTTAAATTATTTTTTATGCTTCTTTACTATGGATTTTTGGCAAAAAAAATTGCAAAAAAAAAATAATAACAATAATTGAAGTTTTGCCAGGAGAAGAAACTACACAGGAGCCAGGAGAAGAACCTACGCACCACCACCATTACGCTTATGAGCCGCAGCGTTTCCCATTTGTAACAATGATTTCGAAAACGATGTCTATTGGAAATCGAGTGGCTTCTATCTCAAAAGATAAAAACCGAAGGCTCTCAATTATTTTACCATTGGTAGTATTCTTATAATACTACAAAAATATTAAAGGCGAATTGTAAAAAAATAGTTGTGTTTGATTTATACAATATTAAAAAATACATTTTGCTACCGAAATTTGTGTGACTGACCGCGGAAATGCCTTTAAAGTATTTAGATGAGAAGTTCAAAGGGACAGAGAGGATTTTTGTACTTACGTTTTGCACTCTGAACTGCTCGGTGCCCTAAGTTCCAACATTTGGGATGTTTTGGTTTTAATGAGGAAGAATGAGTTTTTATCGGCTGCCTCTTGACGCACCAACGTTTCCGAGTCGATGCTCATTATGGGACTAACTGGTTTATTATTCACATCTGGACTCCGTGTCGCATGTAAATATTTCAAAGAATATTTGTCGTCCTATACAACAAGTAACAAGCTTTAGTACAGTAGGTTATTTCGATTCCGAAACTTTACCTGTTTGGTTAGGAGCACAATCATTGTCTCAAATAACAAGCCATGCAATTGAATACTGGGATTCTTCTTCATCGTCAAACTGCCATCGTGAATTAAGCGGAACTGAGTTAAATCCAGATTCTAAAAAAAAAAACAAATGATTTTTGCACTTCATATTTAGGGACCACATTTCGGCTTACCTTAAATTCGTCTTTGTCAAATGTCGATTTATCCAATTTACGCTGGATATTTTGTAATCTGAAAAAGAGATTCGGGAGTTAATATTGAATACGTCGAGTGTTATCGATCCAATATACTTGTGAGCATCTTCAGCGGTTTTAACCGCCTGATTAACGTCGACTAAAATTTTTTTTGACGACTCTAAAGCCCTTTGAATAGCCTCAGCCTCCACTGTGTCTTCCGGCATTACACGAACTGTCACTTTGTACAAATTTTCGAAAAGTAAAGGGTATTTGGTAAGTCGCTGAAGAACCGTCGGCAGCAGATCCTTCAATTGCAAACGACGGCAAGCTTTGTGTGATTCAGCCTTCGAAAGTAATTTTTGCAACTGATCATCCTTGCGACGCTTCTCTTTGAGGGCTTCTAAAGCTATTTGTTGCCGGGCACAAAACTGGGCAGCATACTCACGCAGTTCCTCTCCCGATTTGCCGTCGAACATGCCAGCCAGAATGTCACCAATATTATTTACAATGTACGAGTGGTCAATTCGCCTCTGTTTGATTTTCTGCTCAAACGACCCGTGGAGATCACGCAGAGAAAGCAACGACGGGGGAAAGAGTAGCAGCAAATCGTCCTGTGAAAGCAACCCGCTTTCTTGCAGCGGGTAAAAGAAGAGACACTGCAAAAGTTTCAAAGTGCGAACGTGGCTACGTTCAGTCTGATAAATTTCTGAAAGGAAAGTAAAAAATTAATTGCAATCAAGTATTTGTTATCCGTTCACAAGCCCTACCATTTATAATCTCCTGCCGCTTTTTCTCGGCATCTGTTAGAGCTGCCAATACTTCAGCGGCTACGTTTGAACTCCAATCCGACTCATTTATTAGATCGTCCTCTTCGTCACTGTCAACGTTCCAGTGTCGAGCGATCTGGCTCCCCGCCACCGATCCACACAGGAAACTGGCATTGGATGAACCACCCATGCTACCATGAAAGGAATCCTGGTGACTGTGCTGGTGTTGATGGTGATGCTGTTGGTGCATTGGCATTGTTCCACTAGCTGATGTATTGGCTCCAACACTTCCCATTTGTTCCATCGAAGTGGATGGGCTGTCGGAGCCACCACCAGATGAAAGACTAGAATTTGAACTTGCCGTAAAGTTAGCATTGGAAAGGCCCAAATCGGGTTGATCATCGCTGAAAAAGAAGAGTTGCAGACATTAAGTCGACGTTAAATTCTGAAGGAACTCATATGCTGAGAATTCCACTGACAGACACAATTTACATAATTAGGAAGTTTTCTATATACCTTTCTTGGTTGTAGCCCAGCATTTCTCTGAAGCTTTTGCTGCGGGTGTAACGAATTTTACTTTTCATTGTTCATATGTTTGCTTCTAATAAATGTCACTGATCGAATAATAATGAACTACGCATGGATTGAGTAATCCGCAAACCTGCATATCACAGGAAATTATAACAGAGTGATTTCGACGGATATAGAAAAATCTGAAAACAAATCAACAGATGTCCTGCCAATGCAACGTTTCTTATATAACTGAACTGCCTCAGAAATAATGAGTAACCAACAACCAGTTGACCGACCCCTCTTATTGCCTTACGGAAATAATTCCACACCTAAGCACTAAGCAAATTATTGGAGGCGGAAAAGTTCAAAAGCAGAACGGCTATGCCACATCGTAATCTTTTCCATAAACCCCCTAGTATTTCTCGTAAGATTTTTAACGTAACTGAAAACTCTTGTGGACGACCTTGTGTGTTGGTATGTTAGCGTATTTTCCATTTTTATATATGGGGACTGTGATGTCTATACGCAGAATAGACTAAATTGGTGTTGTCATACCATTTTATTTGTAAACACCATAAAAACGTCTGTTGCCTCCCTGGTTTCGTTTCGATCACAGGAATTGCGATGATATCATGCAATTGTTCGACTGTTGAAAACCAAAACCATTCGTAGATAGTTCGGCAAGGATGGTTCTGGGATTTATGGTGGACACTTTATGTCACACTCCTTCCGTCTGCACAAATTCATAATATCCGTTCTAATAATTCGCCACACAATTAAAGCCACACCTTCGAAATGTTCGTGTGTGTGTATATATATATTTATATATAGATATACTGCAACAACCTCTGTGTGACGTTACATTTAAATGCTTCACGACTCCTTGAAAGCAATCACCACCACTTACCCATGTCCTCGGGTGGTGACATACATACATGGCAAACAATCGACAGCAAAGCTCTCAAGTAACTGCTAATATTCATATTCAATTAGTATTGACTTTTTGATATCGGATGCAATGCAGTCCACGCAAATGAAAGTGTTTGCACGCACACCTATGCACCCATAATATACCAACGACGTCGTCGATTAAATGGAAAATTTTATTATCCTAGGTAACTATTTCATTAGCATTCGATGGCCTAGACAACAATCCATTCTACGATACAATGGACACATTTGCCACAATTCAATTCGGTTTTAATTGATTGAGAGTGTTTTGTAAGGCATTTGTTCAACCGATGCTGTGGTCGACAAAAGACACATCCGTATGTGTGTTCCAGACACTAACACATTTTTCCACTTTCGTATTCTACGATCAACTTTCAACGACTCACGGTATTTATTTTAAACAATCGTTATGTGTTGTCTAATTGTCCATCGTTTAACTAACTCTGGCAGATTTTTATCAGTTGATTGTATGCTTCTTTATCGAAAAAGAGCCATGGCGAGTTTTGTATTGTTTCTGTTTTGAATTTCACTATCCGGCAGAAGAATGCTTAGGTTTGTCCATCAAGTGCCGATGGATTCCGATATTGTATATATTAGACATGACGACTATAAAATGCGCATTTAAAACATTGTACGTATGTGGTATTGGTGTGTTTGGTAGGCACAGCGCGCAGCGTGAATTCTACTGTGATGTACACAAAACAACTTACAGACGTGAAAAGTGAGATTTTTGGAAAGGAAATGAAATAATAATTGGTATTCGACAAAGGCAAATACGATGTTTGTTCAGGAAGTATGGTCGGTCATTTAATTTCGGCTAAAACAGAGCAGCGTTTACATCGTCGGGGAGATGTTGAATTCAGTCTGCAACGAATTCAACATCTCCTCGACACCAACTATGAGGGTGTGAATCACTAGTTTATAGTTGTCCAAAATCTCAAAAAAAAAAGCGGTACTTTTTGAAAAATTATCGGCAACGTTGTTTTACAAGGCGTAAAACACCTGAAAATCGACTTTTAATAATTTTTCTTAAAATATTTTTTTGAACAGCTTCTCACCTTGTAGTTACTTTAATGAATAGAATACAATTATAAATAACCACAAACATAACACATTCGATATATTTTTGGAATGCGAGAAAATGTTGTTCGTATTCGAGATTCATTCATTATTTTACAAACTTTTTTCATTCATTACGGATATTGGCTCTGGCATTTGTTTATTATAAAAGAGAGGGCTGTATTTTGTATGGTCCTCTATACAGCACAATATGCTTTCATATGGCGTTTGGTTGTAGGTGGTCAGCGGAACAGTGTACTGCATGTCATATCAATGTATATGTATTAGGGTTATGAGTTTTTTTTTTTTAAACGTACAATGAAATGAACTTTTGTCAATAATAGGACTTTTTTGTGAAAAAATAATGTTCTAATTTCTTTAATCATACATACAAATCAAAATCGGAAAAGTGTACATTTTATAACTTCCACGGAAGAAAAGCCACATAACTTATGAACAGAATGATGAGACATTGGTCATAGAAACCGATAAACATTTGACGTTCTTGTGTGCAATTCAGTGTAGATATCTTATTTTGAATTTAATTTCTTTGTATGGGACCCTGAAACCAATTCCCAATGGAAAACATTTCGTGGGCTTTATAGCTTGATATATTTGCTTACAATGAATCAAAAAAATCATAAATAAAAAATTCCTAGTGTTTTGTTGGTTAATCTTATGAATAACTCATCAAAATATGATACTGGGATACGAAGTCATAACCCTAATGTGTATATTTTCCACACGAAATTCATTCAACCAATTATGAATTATTGTTCTTTCTTTTAAAACAAACTCTACACAGTATAATTGTAAGGATCGAAAATTCCATAATACGAATACAATGAACACGATTTGACCAAGCAAATGTCCAACCATAAAGATCCGCAGCAGTGTGGCGTACAGATATTGCATGTGTAAAACCCGAGTAATCAAACTATACACATTTTTAGATATATTAAAATGTGACAATCATTTTCAGAATCATCGATAGGTCTGGAATATGCGGAAGTCCAATAAAACCTATAAAAACATTACCTAAAATTTGACGTTCTCGGTATAGGAATTTCCTATTTCAAAGATTAAACAAATGAGTTTGTGCTATTGCGACGATGGTACGAATAAAATAGGCACCTTCTCACCATTATAGTGTTTGTTGAACGTCCGTAAAAAAAGGTTTTGGAACAAAGCAAGTTCCAATTATTCCAATGCTCATGCAAAGAAACACTTTATATTATTTTTTTCAGATACCGGGATTCGAAAGCTGTTTGTGAAACACAATTGTTTAAAAGTATTTTTGTTTTGATATTCAATTGTAATTGAATCTTACAACAATTATCAATATTTTTCTGGGTTTGATTTAAAACATCATCGAGGAAGAAACAGACGTTTCATCATTTCTGATATACGCTTTTGAAAATATCTATATATCGGACGCACACGCACACATACATTAACACATGCTATATTTGGTAATATGCATTTAAAATTACATTTGAAACACTTTATTCGAAACACATTAAAATTCGAATTTTCACTTCTTTTATTTTATTTCACATCGGATGTTATCACAGATGATCTTCATACTATTTATATATGCTGCTGTACGTATGTCTATACATATTACACGTGCATACATATTTTATTGGTATAGCACAGCAAGTGCAGTTGTGGAAAACTGGAAGTTCTATGTTGCATCTGGCGCAGAACAATAAAGACACAGTTGGATGTACGTACAATCAGCAGTGGGACAACGAAGCGAACAATTTCTGCCAAAATCAATAAACAAAAAAATAGTGTTGTGAATGCTGCACGTACAGTGGCCATACTGACGGAATTTGGTATTTCTGTCGATTTGTTGAGAAACTACCGATTGCCAAATGCCACCGTATCGTTTTAAAAACAAAACAAAAAATCATCATTATACACAATCATATGCCAACAATGTGTCTAAGTATGTGTGCATGGATGTGTAAGAAGAATGACATGGTATGCGTGTCTGCGCTCCTAGTACTGAAGATTATCGCCGCTCGGAAGGCGGAAAGCATTTATCTACGCAGAAAGCGAAAATCCAAAAGCTTTTTAGTTACAATTTGGAAAATTTGGCCGACAAAGCTTTTATCTGGAAGTTCTGAGGCAAATATGTTTTAGCTTGAACTACCGGTAAAGTGGTCGGCATAGTACACGTTTTGGCAACCTACACAAGGATGAGACATTATAAACCCCTTCATTTTACTTCAAAACTGGCCCAGTTCAATGCAGAAAAATATAGCGAGGTGCCCCAGTGTACCTGGCGTTTCTGAAGCCTGAGACATTGCGCCCAGTTCACTCCAATCGGAGGAAGCTATGTTAATACAAGTTTCATACAATTGTAATGTTTCCGAATAACAAAAAACCAAATTTTCGGACGTAATAATATTTAACTATAGCTTCCATTCGAAATTATGTAAATTGTTGACGACATTCATTAAAATTGAACAAATAATTTGAAACTTACTTTGGTCTTGAGGTCAAATTGGGATCAGAAGTCTTCCGTTGGCTTCGGTTACGTTTGTGTGATAGGCGCTCTTTATACGATTCTGAACGGTTTACGGAGACTGGGGCACTTTTGTTTTGTTGATGTTGTTGTTGTAAACTGAAAATGATAAGCAAAAACATGTAAGATCAAAGATCTAAGACATATATATATATATATATATATATGCAAAAACATGTAAGATCAAAGATCTAAGACATATATATATATATATATATATATGCAAAAACATGTAAGATCAAAGATCTAAGACATATATATATGGTGTGCTTACCGTTCCCTACGTATCAAATTGCTCTCATTTGCGTCCTGCGCATTCACACTGCTGAGAGCCGATAAGGCACCTGATACACCTGCTGACGACGCAGCTCCCGCAACGCCAGTTGTTGCTACGGGCCCAAAGTTTGTTTGACCAACATCTGCGCTGGATGTGAGTCCTGTCGAGCCACCACCAACTGCGCCCAGACTTAAGTCGCCAGCATTAAAAGATGATTGCAAGTCACTTACATTCAGTTGGGCTGACGTATTTCCATTGGATCGAATTGAAATATTTGCGGCATCCGTCCTGCGGTCTGAAGGCTGTCTTTGAATTGACGTGGAGTTTAAACGTTCTAGAATTTCAAAGCAAAAATAAAACAATTAGCAATTATTACTTATTGCCAAACTAACAACTTAATTATGCTGAGGCTAACGAATGCCAACAACTGGACAAGTTACTCTAATCTTAAAAAACGGCCTAGTACTTCTACGACATGGGAACTTATCGGGAAATGAAGTACCAAATGATGCGGTATTCTTCTGAAGGGAATTAGTACCACGACGCCGGTAATATACATTATTACAAGAGACAAATATACTAACAACGAAGCTCTGAAATTTTGTTCTTAATTATTAATTACGTATGGGACAACATAAGGAGTGCTAAGAGTAAGAACTTTGCGAATTGCTCACCAACGCTTAACTGCCTAAAAATTTCGGGTTTGGTACCAGCCATAGAGCCGCTGTCACCTTCAGCGACATTTTTGAGTTTCCTATTATTCTTGTTTGTTACTTTTCGATTTTTATAGTTTGTGGTCGTCTCATTGATCTTTGCCGCCACTCTAGAGGTAAGAGAGGGGGAGTTTGGCTTCCGTTTAAACTGTGATTTACCATTGGTGTTAGACGTTTGCTGGTCGTCTTCGTGTAGCCGTTGCTCTTCGAGCTCGTCGCACGAATAAAAGGCCTCATCTTCGAAATTACCACTGCTTTTGCTGCTGTTTGAGCTATTGCGTTTCACCTTTTTAAGATCGATCGTCTCCAGGGACCTGTTTGATTCACCCGATTGCGAGGAGATAGAGTCATTTGATATTGACGATGGCTTCCTTGCTTTGACGGGCGGCTTAGTGCAATCTGACTTACTTCCGTAATTTTCATTACTATTTTTGCTGACGTCGTTGTTGATGTTGTTCAGAGAATGTTCGCAGAATGAGTTATCCAATGGCTTATTTTTAAGCAGGACCACGTTACGCTCTCCTTTGTAATCATTCACCTTAGGGCTCTTTGCAACAGCACTCTCATGGTTGCAATATTTTAAAGCGATTGGGAGAGGCTTACGCGTTGCTGCGACTTGTATTACAGCTGAGGCTGCTTCTGATATCGATCGGCGGCGAATGAGTTTAAAATCGTCGCTGCTCAGAAATTTTTTGTTGTTAACAACGAACTTAACTAAGGCTTGAAAATTCAAGTTACACTGAGAGCGAGGCGCTTTCTTTGTTTCCTTGGCCTCCTTATTTTTTTTCGATACCTTGTTCTCCTCGATCAGAGTTGTCGGTTGTTGATATACCCTGCGGCTACTACGAGAACGCTTTATGCTTTCTTTCTTCTCCAAATCGCCAATTTTTGTTTTTGATGAGCTTTTTTCAATGCGATTGTTGCGGAACTTGCGATCGGTGAGTAGAATTTTCTCCTTACCAGCATGTGGTACATTGTCCTGGATTATCAGACGGGCCCTATCACTGTGATCTATATCCTCATCTGTCTCGCTGTCGCTGTCCTCGCCATTATCATCTTCGGCCAAAAATTCTACTGACATAGCCGTAGTGTTTGGCGGAAATATCATAACATTTCTCAATGGCCCCTTGGACATGTTACTCTCCTCATCGGGGACATCGAAAGTAGGCGCTAAATGTTGATTACTAGAATGATATACATTTTTATACATTTTCTTTTTTGCTGTCTCTGAGTTTTTGACGGCTTTCATTGATGGTTTTTTTATGGAGTTATTGGCTTTGACGTCACTTAATGGAACTGGCCCAAAGTTCACTGGTTTCTCGGGCATGCCAGCATGCAATGCATTTCCCGTAGATATCTTGACGGTTATATCCTTTTCTTCCATTTCATCACATTCGTCTAAAGAGTGAGCTTTTTGTTGCTTTAGAAAAAATCTCGGCGAACTAGACCGTTTTCCGCTGCTGGGACTAGGAGTCGAGGACTTTCGTCGAAAACTTGCACGACGAAACTTTTCAAATTTCGATGACGTGTCGTCGTTTGTTTTCCCGTTCACCAAATTTAAATTACCCTGTGCATTGTTGTTGGCGTCCTCCGTTGAGGAACCACTGCCTTTCAGACGGAACCACATTCTTGACAAATCACTCATTTTCTCGCTTTTCACTTTTTTTATTCACACAATTTTAAAATATGCAATCGCAATTAATAACACATATTCACCGCTCTGGCTGAATTATTATGAATTATTATTAATAACATATACATATGTACATGTATGTTGCAACGAACACTTTACAAGACGTGGTTTTGCGAATTTAGTGTGTATGATGATCGGTTACTTTCGTGCATTTCGTTAATTTTGTGTTTACTTCGTAGGGCATTGTCATCCCTATAGAGGTCCCATTTGGGCGAACGAAATTCCAGAGACAAACATTGAAATTTACATTATTATGATCGATGGGTACGGCGCAAATATATATAAACTACTACAGCTGAATTAAAAAATCGTACGCTAATGAGATGTTGTTGTCGTTCGCACATATCGAAAAATACTAAAAATGAAAAGCTTTCGACAATTTCTTGCTCGGAAAAGCTGAATATAATTATATTTAAATTTAGATTCGTGTTTTACGGATGGCGTACCAGATATGAGGTTTTAATGTATGACCTCCATATATACGACAAACAAAAAGAAAAAGAGAGAGAGAGAGAGAGTAAGCGAAGAAATCTCGCACAAATAGATAGATCCCTGTTGACAGTGGCACAGGCAAGCCTATGGAATATTACACGAAAATGAGATGAAACTGCCAACATTTTAAAGGTCAAGTTTAATGAAATTCTGATTCAGCGACATATTTTTTTAATAATAAGAAATATTGGCCAAGACAATGGATGTACAGAAAAAATGTTTTTGTGCAACAGGCATACAGTGGATCAATATTAATGCAACATTTAACTATATATGTCATTTTAAAAATACCTTTTAATCTAATCGAAAATTATTATGAATTGTCAATCAATTTAGATGATGTGAATTGCACTATATGAAAAACCGCCTAACGATCTGTTTGTGCTTTGGCCTTAAGGATATTCGACCATTCGTCTATTTATTTGCAATACGCTTACTTTTCGAAGTTTACTAATACAAAAATAGCTATGACAATGTATGTATCCAATTGATAATGATAGCGGTTATCAATGACAAATTTCTTATCTCCGCTGGAGTAAAATTCGAATATTCAGTAACAAGCCAGCGCCAAAATAAAACAAAGGCAAATACAATGCCAAACAATGTTCATAAATAACCGAAAAATTCAAACATATTGCAATAAAAGCTAATACAGGAAAACTGAATAACCAGGTAACAGGTATGGAGGGGAAGCGGCGTACGCAAAGCCACAATACCCAATGAATGGGATATTCATTCGCTTTAACTGCACATGATGTCATCACACATGCCGTCGCTGTTCATTTACCCTTTTCGGGCTTGATGTTTTGTTAGAGAGCCCGAACATAACAAATGACGAATAAGCCGAATATAAATAAACAATTTTATTGCGATTTATGCTGGATATGTGCGGCAGCTAGATAGCACATTGTACACCATGGACATTGCGCCGCAAACGAACTTAACGGATTATTAGACAATTTATTTACAAATATGTTTGTAATCATCAAATGAACCCATTTTTACGTTACAGATTTAGTATTCCTTTTTCGCAATTCATGGTTGATTTTACTTTATGTGTTTAAGTTCCAGGACTCAGTTGAAACATATGTAAAGCACAACAACAATGATTTTGATATGCACTAAAACGCTAATTAAGCTTTCATCGAAAAATCATGATTTGTACTTGTTGTAAGTAGTGTTGACAAGCGTTCACTTTATCCCATCACAAAATTCAATAAAGTGCTTTAGCCAGACAGAACATATGTAATAATATGCCGCCATTGTTTTATTATTCCATACCAAAATTCCTAAATATCAATACACTGGAAACTTGCACAATAGCGCTGGGCAGATAGGGTGGATATCTGCTCGAACAATGTGTTGACGTCGTAGCTTCTACAGTGTTACAACTTTACAGTTTACGTCGTAGCGTCATGTGTCTACAAACTTAAACAAAAATAAACATTCTTGCTTTGCTTTGTATTTTTTTTTCAAATTCGTTAAACTACCTCATCATACAGTTCAAGTTCGGTTAAACTGGCGAAATACCGTGCACATTCAAGTGTTCTGCCGAAAATATTAAGAAATGATGTAACGAAACTGAATACTAACGAGTTTTGATAGGTAGTATTATTATTTGTTTGCTAATGGTGACGTATTACAAACAAAAATGTTAATCAACTAATACACCCATAAGTGTTTAAATGTGCCAAAAAGTCGCCGCCCGCAAAGAGCATGTCAATATGAAACATTCAGATTTATATGCTCCTGCTATATGCTCGAGCTCCTATGGAACTCATTCCGAAAAGAAGTCAAAACTGCGATATAAATAACTTGGCGGGTAATTTGGACTTAATTTTTTTTAATCTTGAGTAAAAATTAATGCAAAAATATATGCGTTCCTTTTTTGGAATAGCTCTCGCCCCATTTACGGTATTTTGAAGGAGCTGGCTTCATTTCCAACCGAAGCGGCTATAATTTCGTTTAAATACCTCCTCCTCACTGATTGTAATTACTGCTAAACGACGTACATTTTTCTTGTGGAAAATATTGAAACAGATAACATTTTTTATTTGAGAAAAGCAAATTGTTCGACTCTTGTGCTAAAAAATGAATGTGCAAATAACAGATTTCAATATGAGCTTAACTAAATTTTTCAACATTGCAATTATGTATTCCAAATCATGTTTGATGTTTGTTTTCACTTATTACGAAAAAATATATCAAGGCAGCATTGTCATATTCCCTGCATTTTCTATGATATGGGGTGGTCCACATTAGACGCATAGTCCACATTACCCGAAGTTACTCTACTGCGTTTTGTAAAAACGTGGCGTTTGCCATTAGCAGGTATGGGTTGTCGATTTTGTTTTGGAAATTCGATATAAATTGTGCCACGATTGCCAAAAATAATAACAAGAATCTACAATTGTGGTTTTTATTTTCTTATTGAAG